AGATTTATAATTAATTTAAGATTTATAATTATTAATAATTATATATAAAAAATAGATTAACGACAAGAAAAAAAAAAAAATATATATATATATATTGAATATAACATATCTCTCTTATTGCTTGTTGTGTCTAGAAAAGTCTAGAGACTAACGAAGGGATTTGCAGTGTAAAGAATGAAATATACAACGTGCTTTGACCCCTCAGACACGATCGAAAGCATATCGATCGTTTTGATGTCTCTTTCACGTAGCACGAGTTGTTTCTTTATAAATTTTTAATCTTTCTATCTATTAAAACCATGACTGCTTTAAACATTCAGTTTACTCTTAATGTTAGATCATTGGTTTTTACGATTTATAAACTATTAATTTAATATCAGCAAAATGTAAAATATATAAATATTTTATCATAATCTATCTCATTTACTTTATTAAACTTATTGTTGGTGCCGTTTTTTTATAAGAAATGCTAAATAAAATTTGCAAAAAGCTCACATTACATTAATTAAATTAATACGCAGTTATTATAAAAGTCACAATGTTAATAAGTATGTGTTTAAATAATATTTAATATAAAATATTAGAAAAAATATAAGATTTAGAAGAATTATTATGTTGATTATATTGAGAGAATTATGTGTTAAGAGTTGATCTTTCTAATTAGACAAAACCACCGGCGTCCAACAACAATCACACCACGCACAATCCGACGTGTGAGAAATTGGTGCAGAAACCCTTGCCACCTGGACCAAGGAAAACTGTTATCCAGGCCTCCACCTCGGAATTGCTCAAGTGCCTCGGCGTCTTCCTGCACAAGAAATGCACCCGTTTAAGGGACTTCCAGGCCGGCGACGCTGTCATGTGGCTCAGGACTGTCGACAGAAATCTCCTGCTTCAAGGCTGGCAGGTGAGATTGCCATTTTTACAAAACATTGTTGACAGAAATCTGATGCTTCTTAAAATTATTGCTTAAATTATAAATGAACAAACATTTGCATTTAAATACGTATTACATTGAAAAAATATGTTTGTTTTTTTACATTTTTATTTAACGAGTTAAACATTTATAAATAATCTTTAATGGAAAGAAATGGAAAGAAATATGGACGTAGTAGTGAATGTTTTAAAAAGCACTTGAATATTAATTCAGTATTCCCAAACAGATTTCTGATACTTGCTTAGTAATAAACATTTTCATATGCTAGATAGTTAACGTGCTTCATAAAATATATTCTCCGATAATATAATTATCGTGGGCACTGGTTTAACATTAATTAATATATTACTCCTGCGGTTATTTCGCTATCGTTGTAATTGGATAATTAAGACACCAGTAGCACAAGGTAATTAACTTGCTGATTGAACTGCTATGATTAACGTCGATATATGCA